GCCACCCGCTCACCGCGGCTCCCTCCTTCCCTCCCTCCCTCAGGACAACCGGACCGCGCTGCACTGGGCCTGCTCGGCGGGACACACGGACGTCGCCGACCTCCTCCTCGGTCTCGGCGTGCCCGTCAACGACAAGGACGATGTGAGTGTCGCACCGTGAGGGGCTGAGCGAGGCAGCGCTGTGGGCCGGCTGGAGAGGGGCTGGGATGGCGCCGTTCCTGCCCGGCGATGGGGCCGTTCCTGCCCGGCCCCGTCCCTGTGTCTTTAGCCGCAGAACTGCCCGTAGCAGCTCCCGGGGGAGGCTGGCGCTAGTCGCTCCCTTCCTTTTCTCCCTCCTCCCGTCAGCTGGTGCCCGCAGTGTGGTTTCTGGGCGGTTTTAAGAAGCACATACTACTGTGTGTGCCGGAAAGGCAAATTGCAGTACTTCAGCGTTTCTGTGGAAGGGGAGATAACGAGACAGGGCGAGTCGTGCTTATTGTCAAGAAATTTTAGGGGAACTCTTGTTATAAGCAAAGTTGCAAAACCAAGGGTATTTGTGGTGGTGTGGGGGATTTTCACATTACCTTTTTCTCAGTGTGATCCTCTTAAATATATTTGTGCCAAATCATGAGGTACCCTGAAGATTTTTCATTACTGGGGCATCATTATAGAATAGGTAACAGGTTCAGTGGTTTCACAGTTGCAGAGGAGATGGTTTGTTACTGTTCTAGAGGAAGAGTTGAAATAATTACATCCGTTGTGAAGCATCCTAAAGGTCACCCTTAAAGAAGGAGGTGTTCCATCAGTTTAGTTAGAGGATTGGGTATAGAAAAGATTGTGTACGTTTTTGGACACCGTTTTCTGCCACTCCTACTTGTTCTTAAAAAAGCACTGCTGTTAATTCTGGATGGGTGAAGTGCCCTGCAAGATACTGTACGTAACTGCATAACAGAAGTGATTTCTGTGGTTTAGCTGGCAGCTTTTGTCAGGTACTGAATGCAGGCGTGTGAGAGGACGTGAGACTTGTCTCTCTGGTGACAGTCAACAGTGTTCAGCTTTACAGTTACAAGAACATGTGCATTTTGGCTAATGAGTAGTGATGTCTGTATTGGGGTTATACTTTCTCATGTTTTTTTGCCTGAAATGAATAATGTGGTTTGAATAACGTGGATGTATTCTTGCCCCTGTAGGCTGGCTGGACGCCCTTACATATCGCCGCCTCGGCAGGCCGCGATGAAATTGTGAAAGCCCTCATTGCCAAGGGTGCTCATGTGAACGCTGTCAATCAGAATGGCTGCACGCCTCTGCATTATGCAGCCTCCAAAAATAAGCAAGAGGTATGTTTGCCTATGCTACTAAAGGTGGTGTTGCTCTTGGAAGAAGCATTTAGTTACGTTAACTTTTCTTCCTTCTCCCTCCTTCCTTTCTATTTCTACACATTCAGATTGCAGTCATGCTTTTAGAGAACGGGGCTGATCCGGACGCAACAGATCATTTTGAATCCACCCCGTTACACAGAGCAGCAGCCAAAGGAAACCTAAAAATGGTACAGATCCTTCTGCAGCACAATGCATCTGTTAATATACAGGACTCCGAAGGGAATACTCCTCTGTAAGTAATTTTATATTTTGCTTAATATAGCATAATCTCTGTGAAATGAAACTGCATTACTTAAATTTCTTTTTTTTTTAACTTATTGTTGCCTCAGAATACTCCCCTGCTTCACACCCTGTGTAATTACAAAGGATTTGAGAAAATCACACTCAGTATTTTGCCTAAGTGTGTCTGTACATACATATTTTAATTTGTGTTACTACATCTACTTAAAAAAGTGCAGAACATATTTTGTAATAATGTGGAATATGTTCAGTTGCCACTCGAGGGTAGAAAGTGAGCTAATGACATCAAAGTCGGAGGAAACTGGTCTTGCAGGCTGGCCTGCTCTGTCCTGCCAAGCAAGAACTAATTTTGGAAGCTTTTCTTCACCTCTCTAAGGAAAGCAAGTTGCCACTTAAGTAGAGTCAGTCCAGTGTTTGATATTACCTTAGAGATCAGTTTGAATCTGTAAGGGTAAAACCTTAGCTGCTTTGAAGTTGGTGACAAAACTGCCTTATCTACAATGGAATCAAGATTTTGCTGTGAGTGAGATCAAGCAGAATGTTTTAGCTGTACATAAAACGCAGTATAGTCCTGGAACACACACGTTTATTCTCCAGATACTTTGCCAAATGGAAAAAGAGTTTGCTGCATTTGCAGTAATTCTTTGTTTCAGATTATTTTTAAGCATAGTATCATTTAGTTTATCACTTTTGATTCAAATAGATATTACCATTTTCCAGTTGCAGTATGGATTATGTGCTCCAATGCAGAGCCAAATCCTAATCTGCAGAAGTGTCTCAGTGTTGCAAGGAAACTAGCAGGAGGAATGCTCTTGAGTTGCTTAATGACAACAGAGTGACTGGACAGCAGGCCTTGGAATCTGTGTAGGTAGTTGGTTGCATGTGGTTTTGTTGTTCTAGGATATATTAATGCTGTCATTTTGACAAGGCATAGTTATTGCTCTTTAAAAGCTTGGACTGTTTAATAGTGGCTGTGGGTTTCTTGATCTTATTACAGTCATTTAGCCTGTGATGAAGAGAGAGTGGAGGAAGCAAAGCTGCTGGTGTCTCACGGTGCGAGTATTCACATTGAGAATAAAGAAGAACTGACCCCACTGAAAGTGGCAAAAGGTGGCCTGGGAGCCATACTTAAAAGAATGGTGGAAGGCTAGTGGGAACTTCTGCCTTGACTCTCTTTCCTGTTGCACTTGTATATAAGACTGCCAACTTCATATTTTGATGGTTCAACTAGGATGTCGTGTATGGGCATCACCATGGTAATAAAATATGTATCTCTAGCTTTCCTTCAAGTACAGTGCCAAAACAATTGTTTGTACTTCCTGTTAATTAAACAGTCGACTGATTTTAAAGTATTTTTCAGTATCTTGCAGTTTTGTTTTGGTTTACAGTGTGATCTGTGTAAATGCAGTCATTCCTTCTATTTCAGAACCTAGTTTAGGATTGTTTCTTTGAAGCAACAGGACCAAAAATGTTTTAACCGTTTAAAGTCAATTTTATTTTGGAAGTTTATTCTAGAGTCTCTGTTTTTTCCCTTAGTCTTTGTGCATGGGGTTTTTTTGTTTGTTTTTTTTGTGGGTACTGGTTCTCTTCCTTCAGATGATTCCAAACTATGTCTCTCCCTTTGTAGAATGTAGTCTTCTCAGTTACTTAGATAGTTGTATCCATTTTTGCTCTTAGTCTATTTAAGTGAGCTCTGAGTTTTTAAAGCTTTTCTGTTGTTATCTATTGTTATCCTGTTTCTTTGAATCTTTAAATACATGTGTTGATGAAGTGCACTGGACTACTTGCAGAGTGCAGGCGCGGTTTCAGGGTTACCTCTGCAAATATGTTATTGTATAATGGATGGCGCTGGATACTTCTCTGGGATGTATTTCAAATCTAATTTTATTTCTTCTTGCTTCTTCTGTAGATTTATTTTTTCTGTTCTGTTTGACTCCCATTATGTAGCACTGACACTCGCAGTTTACCATCTTATTTTATAAAAGAGCCTGGTTTAATCTCTATTTACTCATAGCAAATCCTGGTATTAAGTCATTATAAGGCAGAGCTAATGAGACTGAGTTTGAAAGCGACCTGTTCTGATTAAGATCACTTTTGACACTAGTGGGATAGATTTCCCCCTTCTGAACAAATGATGCTGATGAAATTCTGTGAAATAAAGAACTTTCCTAAACAGCAGTCTTTGGTGTTATAAAGTTTTTTATTAAACTTACATGTAACAAAACCATTATTTTCTAAATAGCTTGTACGCTTGGGATGTGAACAAGTCAGATGAAACCCTGCCATCTGTTACACAGTATGGAAATAGAACGTGTTTGTTCTTCAGCTGCAAGGAAAGATTGAAATGGAAGACTACAGTTTCTACAGTTTGACTAGTAGGGATTAAGGTAATGCAATTTATTTTGATAAGCAAGACAGAAACTTACAACCAAACAGGTATCTTCACAAAGTACTTCAAGTGTATCCCAGAAAGCAAAATGCAGGTTAAATTTTCCTGAGGGTACCTGTTGAGAGCAGGAGGGATAACTTGCCTGTACAGTAAGCTCTAGCCATGCAGACCTTGCTTGAAGGAGGAACATGACTGTTTCTTGTATATTGTGCAGGCTCTGTTGAAGGCTTGAATTGAGAAAAGCTGAAGTTAGAATTCTGTGTTCGTCCTTCATCTGTGTATAGCAAAAAAACCCTGCCACAGCTCTGGAGCTTTGTAAATCCACTTCCCTAGAAGATGGTGGCTTGAATGTTGGCATAATGTCTAGTTTCCATATTAATGATCCCTACTCTCTCAGGAGAAGATAAGTGGGCCATGCAGCAATGACTGTCGGAACATCTGAGGCAAATTCTGAAAAATGTTTCTGCACCCTGCATAGCTCTGCAGGGTTTTTGAGCTACACACTGTGGATCAATGTCTAATTTGGCTTGTGCTTTGCCAAGAGCATCAGTAGAAAGCCAGGAACAGTGCCACATCCTTTTTAAGAAACTATTTTACATGAGAGAAACTTCATAATGAGAACAAACATCTGCCAGAAGTCTTACAAAAATATCTCAATATGTTAAGAAACTCCAAATAAATGTTATTTTCCTGATCTTCCTCCTCACCCCCAGCAATCTGTTTTGCTTCTTGCTTTTGCTTTGTGTGGTTTTTAATACTATCTGTTACACACTGGTGGTTAGACATATGAGAGGAATTATTAGTCTAGAACTTGTGCTCAATTGTTCTTTTTTTAATATAAAAACAGTAACATAACTTGACCAATTTCTACTTTTTTAGCAAATGTAAGAGCTGCGGTGTTCTAGGATGGTTAGTGATAGAAGGTAATTACAACTTCACCAGCATAAGCTCCTTTCTTACTGTAGCAAGCTATGTAAGGAATACACGCAGAGAAATCTGTGGAGGTGAGATTAAATAAAGATTAAAAATTACGATAATGACCACATAATATATTCCCCTTTTCAATCACAATAGTGCTGTTGCAGAGATGTGAAAGTTGGAAAGCTGTTGCAGTAAGAAAATTGTAACCAAGACACAGATAAGCAGGAGATTACTTTAGAAGAACTACTACAACTACAGCAGTGTTGTGAAGAGAGTTGTTTATATTTTCCCATGAAGGGCAAGAGTAAAACAATGCTTAGGCATGTCAGAGAAGAGATTATTTAAAATTAATGCCACTGTCAGCCAAGTCGTAGGCTCCTTTAGACCAGTAATTAATTTGAATTATCTCATTAGGAAACACTTTTGGTAAGAAATGGCACCCAAACAGGAGCAGGTGGTAATTACTCTTCTCTTGCTGTTACTGAGCATGCTTAATGTCGTAGAGCTGCACACTCACAAAACTTTGGGTCTGAGTACTGGAAATTTTCAGTAAGCTTCTTCACCTAGATTGAAGAGTGCGAGTTTGTGGATTTTGCCTAGCAGAATTGCCACAAGAGTCAGTAAGAGAGATGCCTGATTAAGAAGAGACTTCCATACAGGTCATGACTTAAGGTTTACCCTGGATATTCTGGAGAGAGAGGACTGTGAGGATCCACTGGTAGAATATGGCACAGTCAGTATTAGTAAGGGTTTGACTTCACAGTCTGGTACCAGCAGATTTTGTCTAAAACAATATTACAAGAATACTGTAAATGCTGTTTTACTCTGTAACAAGGCTAAACACTAGGATACATGTATCAAAGACAAATTTTTTGAAAGCCAGAAAATTTTCTATAAAGGGCAATGAATGCAGTTTTGCTTAATGATCCAAACTGAATCTTTATTAGGACCTCATGCCTTACATCTTCTTTAAATGTTGCCATCTTTTGTTTCTTCTTTTTTTTTTTTTTTTGTGGTCACTTCCTTGATAAACATACTTACAGCTGCAAGAACTGAACCTGAAAATTTTATCATGGATCTATCTTTTTATCTATTTTAAAGATGACCCTTGCATATAACTAACGTTTACAGGCTAGGAACAGTCAGCAAAGTATTTATGAATGTTAGATCCTATAAAAGATTTAAGTGACAAAAAGTTCCAGATCCCTGAGTCAGATACATTTTTCTACAGTGCATGAGACTGAAACCAGCGTCCCCTTGTGTCAGTGAGTATCTGTCTTTTGTAGTTCAGAAGGGAGCTGCCGAGGCTCTGTCTATATTCATTTGAGCCCTATGGTCATTGAGCTCTTCTGAAACTAGCCATCTTTGCCCTTAACTTTAGAAATGAGACCCAGAGAGAAGAGGTGTCTAATGATCGGAGTGTATATGGTTCAATTCTCTCTTCTCCTTCCAAGAGAGTGCTCATCACTCAGCTGTTGGCTCTTGATGCATATGCACAACTTACCTTTGCTCTTGATGCTTCCACCTATAGAAAACAGTCAAAGTTACACCGGACTAAAGAGACCAGAAGAAAAGTAGCGTGAGTTTGTTGCTTAGTGGGTAGGGCAGTTGCCTGGAAATAGATTTAAATCATCTCAGGCAGAGGAAGGAATTGAAACTAATGTATTGTTTAGTAGGCAGTATTAAGTTCTAAGTTTTGAAAGCAGCTGTATCTGCATGTCAGGAGGACTGTGATACTCAGTGTGCCTATTTCAGGAAGCCTTGCAAGGGTATAGATTTTCAGCTCCTGTTGTCTGGAAACCTGTCAATCGATGTCTGAAGTGGGTACCTGAATGCTAGTTCCATTAAACTGAAAACTACAACTGCTGAAACACACAACTCTGGAATGCTTGTGCCTTGGGAACTTGAAAGCCAAGAAGGTCACTGTTAACACAATGTATTCCACATCAGGCAGCAACAGGGTAAAAATTTCCAGGATCTTTTTTTAGCTTTAAGTGGAATTCAGACACACAAGATTTAATTTGTCCAGGTCTTGACATGTGTTTCTGCACTCTGATGACATTGATGAAACTTCTTTTTACTTCTGACGTGCAAAATCAGATCCTTTAAAAACTGCAGTGTATTGACCTTGATTGTTCTTGGTGCACAGGAAACATGAGGTTGGCCTACAGTTTATGGAGAAGACTCCTGTGGTTCAGAACTGGATGGATACAGATGGCATTGCTGATAGTTGACTGGAAAGCTCTTTGTCAAATGCTTCAGCCCATTTTCTAATGAGTTTTGCAAAATAGGTTGGATAAATGTGGGTGATAGTAATTTTTATACTTACATTTATGTATAATTCTAACTAGATAATAAATGAAATGTAGTTAACTTTAAAGGCCAATTCTTCTACTTTTCACAAAGTGCACGTGTAACAGACCCTTTTCGATCTCCAGCCCAGTGGTGCACAATACAAATGCCCATTTAAGTTTTAGTCGTGCTTCTATGTTAATTCAGTGATAACAATTTTCATACAAAGAGGTCCAAAGCTGACAAGGAAAACTGTATTAAAAACTCTAGGCTGTTTCTTCTTTTTCCACTTCTTGCTTCTCATCATTTTCAGGTGTTCCAGAGGGTGCCATTTCATCAGCACTAGGGTATTCATTTCTCGCGTTGCTTGGTGGAACACTGGTTGCAGGAATGTTTTCTTCATTAGGTACCTGAACATACTCTGCATTGGATTGTTTCTGAGTCATTTCTCTGCAGGAAGACAGGATGAGGATTGTGATTTCACATGGTGAAATCCCATCTGCACTAGAATCTTTCAAAAAGAGTGAGACTTTGTAGTTTTATTGTCTGAACAGCAACCCCCTTATTATTACTACTCTGTTCCAAGAGCAGCTGAAAATGCTACAACATCACTGCTGGTAAGACAGAGTGACAGAGTGTTAGATAGTAAGATTGATCTGCATCACTGGTTCAAGTGATGTCATTAGAGTAAAATGGATTTTAGTATGTTTAAATGCTAGGCCAGGAAAGCAGAATGGGAAACTGAGTGCTGGCAAACACTGTCTGAGGAGGGGGAGCAAAGCACACTGCTAGGTGTGAGCTCTCTGAGAAATTCCATGCAGGTCTGGTGTCCCATTCAAGTGCGTTAAAAACAGGGTGCAGTCAGAAAAGAGCTATGAAAAGGCTGAAACCTAGAAAAGCATTTTTAGTAACAAGTATGAATTCCATGTATCTTATCAAAACAGTAATAAACCAACTCCCAATATTTAAGCACTTTGACATATAAAAAATATCAGATGCTAGTGGATTAATTCAATGTAGTAAGATTTATTAGGATCCAAGCACAAAATTAGTTGTTAATGCTACATCAGTTGAAAGCAGAAATCAGGTGCATGCGAGATGGGCCACTGGTCTGGATTAGCAGAATTCCATATCAGAAGTCTTAGACCTGTGCTACATGGGACTGTCCAGATGACATCATATTTTTTTTCTGGCCTCAGCTGGATGTATTAATTTAGCACTTATCATCATGGGGCTAAATACAGCTTGTATAGCATATGAGATTATCCCTCTTCTGAAGATTTGGCAGTTTAAGGGAAAAATGAGCAACCAAAGCAAAGAGGAAAAGACATTTCCAGAGTAAGATCAAGATGGACATTCTGGGCTCCATTTTGTTTTCTGAACGGTGTGTCTCCTGCCATTTGAGATGCCTTAGCGTATCCCAGGCATGTGTCCTGTAATCTCAAATAGCACTGAGCTGAACCCACTGTGTTTAAATCCAGTAATGTACAATCCCAGTAAATTTGCTGAGGCAACCCTTAGCTGCTCTTCCTTTTTTTACTCCCTCCACCATTAACAGTCACCATTGACTTTTAAATATTAAAAACTGTTTTTCCAACTTGCTACTTTTAGTTTGTGTTGTTTAAAAAACATTTACTTTACTATTTTAGATACTGCTTAGTGGTAGCTACCTGTAAACATAGGGAAGAGTGTAATAGCAACTTCTGTTGCAAGAGCAACAACTTAAAAGTCACACAAAAGCAAATATTCTCACTCCGGAAGTTTTCTCAAAACGTGTGTTATTTACCCTTCAAAAATTGTTTAGAGTAATTGTATTTTACTTTAGTTCTCAAAGAAATAACTGTCTTAAAATGAAGCAAACAGAAACTCTTACTGCATTTCATTACTTGATGACTTCTTATTCTTTGCCTTCTTCGTTAAGACCCAGACAATAATGCAAATGATAACAGCTGCCAGAATTGCTCCAATTAATGCTCCAGCAACAACACCACTGTCTGAATCTGGAAAGAAAAAAAGACTACTTTAGACTTTTAAAAACGTATTATTATAGCAAAACCCCATGGAAATTCAGTGAAAGAGCCTTTAGCAGAAAGAAGGTGTTGGATTCAAAGAACTAAAAAACTGACTGACGCTCGTATTTCCAGGAGGGAGGCCAAAGATTCTCTAGGAAAGAGAGAACCGTGCGTTTTTGACCTTCGCTGCCTTTAGCTCCCTACCTCAGCAAACCCCGTGCTTATGCCTGGCTGAGGGAAACTGGCAGTAGTTGAAAGCCTTTGCTCTTCAGTCCTTGCAAACAAATCCTGAAATTCAGCTTGCCTTTATCTCTGTCTTTCAGCTGCGATGTAAAATATATGCTTTGGTTATTTCTGAGCCCCCCAAACCTTCTATTTCCACCTCAGTACAGCTTCTAGCTCTGACCATTGAGTAATTGAGTGACCATTTCAGGGACATCTCTTGCGGCTGGTTGTACAACGTATGCTTTGGCTCTTGTTAAATGTTGCTGGTTATGTGAAAAGTCTGCATGCAGATGTGGTTGACCACTGCTTGAGGGCAGTCAGAACAAGGTATTTATCTATAAATGCAGTATTTTTAGCTAGTGGTCACATCTACAGTGCCCCAGTCCTTGTACTACCATGTCAGTGATGGTTGTAAGTTCTGGCGTGAGGGGACCTCAGTGGGACTGTTGGCTGGAAGAAATTGCTCTAAACTCCATGTCTGTTGGTCCTCAGTAAAGGCTCTGCAGTCAGAGCCAGGTTCAGCTCCTGGAAACTCAGGAGCTCAGTGGGAAATGAAGCTGGAGATGGTAAATGAGTTGTCTAGATCAGTATAAATTCTGGGCATGCCTGGATAAAAACTTTGGAGGTCTCTGAAGCCCATTCTGTTCTTACTTCAAAAAAAATCTATGCTTTAAAGTTGTTACAGTGTTTTTCTGCAAAGTGTGCAGGTCATACATCAAATACGTGATTCCTTTCATGCATTAAACTTACGTTTTGCAGTGAGGTCAAGCTCGCAGGTACTGTTCCCCAGGATGTTGCTGGCTATGCATCGGTAATACCCGGTTTCAAAGGTGGTGAGATTGCCGATGTAAAGAATGCCGCTGTTTGCATCTGTGACAAACAGAGAGCGGGTACAGGTTACCCTTTGTGTACTGTAGAGGCAAACAGTTTCTTTAGTTGGTAATACTGAGAGCTATTAAGAGATCAGAAACAGTGTTCTCTAATTATCCATTCATTTGAGGTTCTTTTGTATTCTTTAAATAAAAAAAAACATTTACCTTCCTTGAAAACTACTATAGTGGATTCTGCAAGAGTGTATTAGAACATGATAAGTAGGCCTCTGCTCTGCAAATCTGTCTGATGTTTTACACACATTGATACTATTGTCAGGGTAACTTCACAAATGAAAATGTAACAGGTACTGAATATTTTCAGGATGGAAATCTTAGCACCTGAATGATAAATTGACTTATTCTATGTTCACTCAGAATTCCAAGGGAAGGGAGATATAAAGGCATAAACATTTCTCCCATTTTAACAATTTAAAGTAACGGCATCGACAAGACTTTAACATGCCACACAATTTTTATGAAAACAAATAGCAGAAACAGTCTGTGTTTGTGACAGCTATCAGTTGATTTGTGTAAGTAAAAGTAAGATTTTGTGACACTGGCTGTCAGAAGAAGAGGATAAGTTTTAACTACCCTATCACTGTGTATCACAGTGTTTGAAATGGCTGGTACTATGGAATGACAGATCTTGAACACGGTATGGTAGTCCTGTAGTTACGTACTAAGGTGTTCCGTCACAGGCTTCAGGGTATTCTCATCCACTTTGTACCAGTGGTAGATAGGGCGAGGCAATCCTTCGTCACATTTGCATAAGAGGTAGATTAGATGGCCTTTTTCAGGCGTTCCTTCTATTTTGCAGAAAGGTTTTGATGGTTTGACTGTAAAATAGGAATGAGGAGAACACACACATCATGAGTACATGATCTGGGGCTGCAAGCTTCCACCTCGAGTTGTGGTACTGTGCTGCTGTAGGTAAAGAATTGAACCCAATCTAAAGATTTCCATCCAAGAGCAGAGTCTTGTTTGTAGAATCATAGAATTGTTTTGGTTGGAAAAGACCTTTAAGATCATCAAGTCAAGTGTAAACCTAACACTGCCAAGTCCACCACTAACCCATGTCCCTAAGCACCATATCTACATGTCTTTTAAATCCCTCCAGGTGTGGTGACTCCACCACCTCCCTGGACAGCCTGTTCCAATGCTTGACAGCCCTTTCAGTGAAGAAATTTTCCTAATATCCAATCTAAACCTCCCCTGGGGCAACTTGAGGCCATTTCTTCTTGTCCCATCGCTTGTTACTAGAAGAGACTTGACCCCCACCTTGCTACAACCTCCTTTCAGTTACTTGTAGAGATGGATCAAAGGCTCTCCTGTAAAGATTTGAGTAATACTAAATATATGTACTTTTTAATTATCTTTTTTTCCATTTGCATACTAAATATGTATGGAGGTGATAAGATGAAGACTGTCAGTTACTTTAATTACAATGGGCCAGTCACTATTTGTCATACACCATTCTGCCATGTAGCAGCATCATTTTCTTTAGGGACACAGCAGGAGCTTTTCCACATAAAGGGAGAGGGTCAAGACCTGATTTTTCAGTATATTGCAGTTATGTAGGAAATAAATTAACTACAGTTCTGTCAAAAAATATATCCTTTTTGATAGCATTTCCTCACTTTGCAGACAGAAGATTCTGTCTTTATTTACATGTATTATTTTTCATTTCTATAGAGATTTGCTGTTGTGGTTCTTTGGAGTAGCATCAGTGGAACTGTAACAGCAATGAACACTGCCTAATTTTGTGTGCATAAATGAAGAACCTTTCTTGGTTTCATGTGACGAGTACAATCTCTTACGCAGCTGCTCCAAGATTTACTATTTGTTTGGGGAATTTTAGATGAGAATTAACAACAGTACTTTGATTTCTCAGGGATTGAGTTTACATAGGTCTTTTTCTTATCTGTGGCAGGTAGGCAAATGATACTGGAATCACATTCTCATATGAGTTTGATTTGTCACTCTGACCCGGCATTCTCAATATAAAAACAATTATTAGATGGGGTTAGTACAAACTTATTTCTTATTAAGAAGTAAAATATCTCATTCCACTGCTTTTCATCCTTTCTGTCCTTCCTGTTCATGGTTGAACTGTTGCTTTCTTCCATCCAAAATAGACTTTGTACCACTTCCATCCAACTCTTACTAAGTTTCTGTAGTTTCTGGGAATGGGGTTGAGCCAGAACCCTTGGGCTGTCCTGCTGCTTCTCCCTAGATTTATGCAAGTCACCATGATGAACATTAGGTAAATTAGTAAAATTTTGGTTTTTGCTGGGTCTGGTTTATCCTAAAAGAAAGTAATGGCTTCAGAGAGAAGTTGTCACTCCCACCTAAAAGGGCTTTTTCTTTTAACCAAAGTTACTATCATTTTGTTTTCCAACATGGAAAATGTAGTGAAGTTGGGTAATTCCAGCTGCCTGCTTACCTGCTTATATTACGTAGCTTTTTGAGAGAATGAAGTGAATCTGAAGGTGGCTCATGGGAAAATTAAGATTTTTATTGTGGTCCAAGCAAGGGTAGCAGCAAAGTGGTGTCAGGTCTGCTTTGGGAAGCTAGAGGGCACCCCAGGCTCTCCTGCCTCCAAAGCCCTTGGGAAAAATCTCTGCGTCAGTGCATCAGTGAGCCCTTTCTCTGCATCACGGGCCTTGTTTATCACAGTTCTGTTATTCCCTCTGGTCCGACGGGTTCTCAGTTGTGAATTCAGTGTTTCATAACAAGGGAAGAAAACTGCAATACAGCAGTAGAGAGGAAAGGTGCTTACCCAGCACGTTGACAATCACAGATTTTTGACTCTGTCCAGCATCACCCCGTGGGCTGAAAACTTCACAAGTGTAGGAACCAGTGTCTGAGGGCTGCATGTTGGAGATTGTTATTGATGCATTCCCTGGACTTGTTGCAGCTGTTATTCTGTTCTTAAACTCTCCATAGGAGTAAGACTGGCCTTCTGAATAAAAATAGATCTGTGATAAAGAATCAATTGTTAGTTTAATAACAAGAGATCTTCCTGCTGCTTTGTTTGGTACTCATAATTGGAATATAGTTCATTTCTGATTAAGCCAAGCAGTGTCACCTCCTTTCTTTCCCTCTCCCCTAAGAAAGCAGAGTTGAAAACACGGTACATTTGGGTATATGTTTCTAGTGGTTCTTAAAAGACAGACTTTTCAGAAAAGGGATTTTTGAATTGTGTAAATGGACTGTAGCTAGCTCTTTGTGGATACGTCAGTCAGACTGATGTGTTTGTGAAAACAAAGGTGAGACTATTGACCATCATATGACAATTCTGTGAAACAATGCTGTCATGTACAATGAATAGTGGTATTCATTGAAGTGCTGATTGTGATATTATTAATAAGCAGCTCAGTAGAAGATTGTGACAAGAATGGACCTGTCATTGCAAAAAGCGGATCCCTGAAGAGCTTTCCAAATACAGAAGCCAGCAAACAGAGAACTGAAATGAATCCACAAGACATAGATTTAAGCAAACAAGGTGCCTGATCTGTTGGCAGTAAATTTGTAAGCAATAAAAATGCAGTACAAGAACACCAGCAGAATCATCACACATGCAATTAGAGCAACCATGCTGTTCTCCTTGTTCGTGTAATCAGGGTCAGAGACAGTGTCATGGACTGTCTTGGGTTTTTGAGTTGATCCCATAGGTAGAAGTCAAGAATACCTGTTGGCCTCAGTGCTTGGAGGAGCACCTATTTGGGATCAAGAAGTTCCCCTTTTAGTAAACAGTAGAAAAAGTTTTGCAGAATTATAGACATAGTGAATGTCTCTAAGGAATGCAGTATTTTTTCCCAAATAAAAGATTACTGTTTAACAGTGACTGATTTCACTGACTTCAGCAGCATCAATTGTACTTAACAGCACTGTGAGAGTAGAATTGCCCTCATAAGTTTATAAGCCGAAACGTGTTGTCTGTTGACTGAAAGGAGAGGTAGAATTGTGTTAATTGTGGAGCCTGGCTGGTAGTCTGAGACTCGGGCCTAGCTCTGCTGTGAAACCCAGATCTGAAAGAACACAGCTCATTTGGAAAACTATGGAACATTAATTATTTTTCTCAGATGTTAATGATAGCATCATGTAAAAGTGGTAGTATTTGGGATAGGCAATATGTTCCCCAGTGTCTACATGCACAAACTCCATTGTCTAGGCAAAGTGGACAATTCCAGCATACCCAGTCATTTTTTTAAACTGGTGAGCAGTAACCATGTAGAATTAACAGACTGGGACCCAGACAGACCTAACATCGTTCCTACTGACAGGGTTCCAGAATCAGCAGTGTAAATGCATTTATTGAAGTTGGACTGACAGTGTGTTTTTCAACAGGAATAACTGGAAAATGCTTGTAGGAAAAAGCTCCAGAAACTCCTGTGAAATGCCATTCACACTTGACTAGTATCAAAGTTCTCTGCCTTTAGGGATCCCTGCAGATCACCAGGCAAGAAGTGTAATTTGCTTTACTTTGCAGATCAACTGATTGCATTTTGAATTAAGAATATGTATTCTTAATTCTATTTATCCACCCTGATATGGTGTTGACTGAAGTCTTTAAGCTATGTTATCTGAAAGCCTTTATTAGTTTAAGGCAAGCTACACCCCAAAACTGCCCGAGCACAGCTGGCTTATGCAATGATAAAGCTTTGAAATGAAGGTCAGAACCCAGACTGCACAGCACCAGTACTGCAGCTTGACCCCATCTCAAGTGCAGTTCTGCCTACTTTCGAGCCAGGCTTTATCTTTCCCTGCCCCAGGATTACAAACACCAGGTACAATTGATGCAGGGCTCTGAATAACAAAGCTACGCTGCTGCATTGCCAACATGTGGGAGACTTGGTGTTGCAGTGAGGAAGCGTAAGAGGTCCCATGTTGGTGCAGTGGCAGACTGGGTTAGAACAGCTGTCTGCTGAGCAGCTGCATAGACTCTCCAGTTTCCATTGTCTGCATGCAATGCTATCAATTTTAAAACTGGTTTTAAGCTTTGCAGATATCTAGAGATGGTCCTCTATTGCAGAACTAGAGTCTGGATGCATGCCCTCGTGTTCCCCAAGGAAGGGCAGTGTTCAAAATAGGGAGTTTGGTTTAAGCAAGTCTCTCCTCAAAAAACTGATCTACCTGTAATGACAAAACCACACTGGCCACAGTTGTCTCTTTCTACATTTATGTGAGTATGAGCAACAACAGAGTGTTAGACACTGTTCCTTGCAAGAGTCTGAAGTTAGAACTGTGACTTCTGACTTCAGGCTTCTCTTAAACTGGTGTTCCTTTATAGATCTCAGCAGTGACGGGCTGGATTAGCATCTCCCTTCAATTGCATCTTTTTGAGTGGAGTAGGGCAAGAGCTTCCACCAGCTCTTCACACTAATGTGAAATTAAGTTGTACAATGACTGAAATGAAGTAATGTGTGACTTGCAGCAGGATGAGAGGAGAGGCAGGCCTATTATCTCCTACTAAAAGGACTGATTACTGAAAAAAAGGGGGTAAATTCTGCTAAATCTACCTCAGAGTGATCTGGGATTTATGTGAGAGCTCTAGCACGTGTTCCTGGGAGATAAGACTGGCCCTACAATGAGTCTTAAATGCAGTCAGGGCATGCCAGTAAACATTATAGAGGAGCAAGCACTCCTCTGTCTGTTTGGTCTGAAGTCAGGGTGAGTTATGTATGTCAGCCCTTGTACAGTGCACTGAAAAATTAATCCCCTGTGTTCTCTCTTCCCGTCTGAATGCATGCAAAGAAAATATTTTGAGTACACTATTAAATCTGAGACAGGTGTCAACACAGCAGAAAATATTTGTTTTCTTTATGGATTTAAACAGGAATCTTTCTGGGATTTTTTTTCCACTATGAACATAAAGGCAGTGGAACATCTTCAGGAAATGCATTCAGTTCTTCTGCAGGCTCCTGCCTGTTCTCTGTTCTTCTGCTCCTGTATGATGCTTATCTCACTAGCTGTGGAGTTCATTGCCTGAAGGAAGGTGGTAAACACCAAAAAGACTGAGTAATGTTGTGATTAATTACTGAATATATATCTTGTCCCAGAGGTGTGATTGGGTTGTGTACACAGGAAATTTCATTTAAGAGGAACATGTTTCAGTTAATTGGCTGTGAATTCATAGCCCATTTTACACAATACACTCAACATGGGTGTCTTAAACCCTTGTTCAAAGTGGTTTTATGCTGTCCTTGAAAAGCTCATGTTTGTGCCTCTCAAAAAGCTGAAATGAAAAATCTTTGCAAAAATGTTTCTGTTCTGTTTCAAAAGTAAAAAAACTTGTTTTCTGTTGAAGATATAGAAGACTTTTTTATTTTGGGGCAACTGACAGCTCCTGTTCCCTCCTACAGACACACATCTCATTTACATTTCTTTCCATTTCACCTAAAATGTCCCTAAAATGTTTGTATGGGAAAGCTGTAAATTTAGTTAATGGTAGACTTTTCCTGGAAGCTTTTTCCATTTGGTGGGATAAATATATTTAAAGTACAACATCTTGAATGTAAAAAAAAAAAAAAAAAAAAAAGAAAGAAAAAAAAGAAAGAAATCTGCTGTGCTTCTCTTGAAAAAATAAGCTTTTTATGTCCTCAAGCAAATAATGAGCAGCTCTAGTGAAGTCGATGATTTACCAGTGTAAATACAATATTGAGGATGCAGTAATGGTCGCTGCTTCTCATTACCAGCTAGTTTGCTCATGCAGGTTTTTATATAATGGTGCCTTTTCACATTTCATGGGAGCAGCTGCCTGGGCTGACTAATCAAACAACTGATAGAAAAAAGAGTGGAGATTATCACTCCTCATGTTAGCAGGCATCCTTCTCAGCTTTCTAAGGCAGTGGTAAAGTTACTCTGCATTTCCAGTCACAGTTTGTGACTGCAGCTAAGATCTGCTGCAGCCAAGAAAAGGATTTGGGCTCATAGAGTTCTAAGGCAGTTGAGTCAATTTTTCATGTACCTGTTTGGGGAAGCTGTGTTACAAACACAGCAGGGCATTGGGAATGATCATTCTCATTTGGAAGAAAAATCTTTATAATCTCAATGCACTCCAGATGCTGGAGACAAGATTATTTGTGTCCCTAATTCTGAAGGTTCTGGAACATGAAATCACAGGTCCTTTTCTTCTCCTTTAGCCTGACTTGTGGGAAGGCTGCTCCTCTTCTAGTGGGATGGTGAGGAAAGTATTCGCCTGCAGAGGAAGCAGTTGGCAAAGCAGATGCTGACTTGAGGATTTTCAAAGGCTGCCAGGTGTTTGGCAGAGAGTGAGGAACCCACCTACAGGTTTTCTTTATACAGCTTCTATAGAAAGATCTTCTTGCTTAGGGAGTGGAGGTTGTGTGTGAAAAAGCAGGCAGTAAATCAGAAGAAACATGCCTCCATCTGCTTCCTTTCTTCTTGGAGAAGGACAAATACATACTAGAATTTGCATAAATAGATGTCATTCAAATATCTTTCGATGGACTCATTCATAATTTCCAGGTCAATATTACTCTCACCTTCCACCTCGGTGTCATTGCATCACATTGCTGTACACACCTAGTACATCTGGATATCAAAATTTTAAGCTGAGATGTGCTTGAAAAGTGTTATAAAATGTCCCACTTAATTTCCACAGTAGTCTTAATTTTCTGGCTGGGGGTAGTTTCAGGACATGACTTCTATTTCAGTACCTGTCCTCCCTTCCCCAGCCCCTTCTCACTTTCCCCCACCAGCAGATGCAAAGCTACAGCATCCTGTTTGATGACGTTTCTTTAGGCTGATGTGTTCAGCATCTGATTCACAGCCTTTCCCTGGAGAGCTGTAAAACTCGGGCATTCAGAGGGCCCATTCATTTGGGTTGTTTTATCATTTTCTGTTTGACATTTTCTCAAGCTACTAGAAAAAACTGTTGAAGTCTCTTTCTCACCAGTGAATGCAAAGGATGATATTAACAACTTCACTGGTTTGAGATCATGATGTCTTTTTGAACTCAGTACAGACAGGATTTATAAAATAACAACAAGGGAAAAAAGTGTTCATCACTCCCTTAAGCCTCTTACCATCTAATTAGAGAACAAATGCTACACACTCAAAGTGTTAATTAAAGCCCAAGGCTCAGATTCTGAACTAAGAAAGCAAATGCTCACGCGTGCATTGGTTTCTTTGATGTGTGTCATGTGGCTGAGTCTGGCCCCAAATGCCTTTTTTACATCCACAGCTTCTTTTCACACATTTTTGTCAGAACTCTGATCTGTCAGACTGTAGTAGGGATATTAAGTCCTGCATTACCCGGATTTTTGCATGGGTAATTGAGAATGTTAATAATGACTAGAAGCGTCTTGTCACAATTGTGCATTGGTAGGAGAAGAAAGAGATGGAGTCAGAAGCCTTTAGAGGATTAATAATTCAGCAGCTTTAACTTGTGCAAAATACTTTTCAGGAGCAGCTCTTTCATGTTCTCACAGTATCATCCTTGTGGCTGAACTATTAGTGAATAATTTCTGCAGTGCATCAAGCACAAATGTGTTTTCTCACTGGATTTGGGTGTCACTGCTCTTCAGCAGTTATTATTAGACCTCCATTTACATTGGGTTGTACCCTGTACTTCATGGTGAGACAGGAATCCCACTGCGGTCAAAGAGAGTTTGAAACGGATTATGGCTGGGACACTGAGCTGACAGCCGAGAGGAAACCAGTTCAAGCAGCTTAGTGTCCCTCTGTATCCTTTGCATCTCAGAATGTTCTTACAGTCTAGAAAGGAGATCCAGGATGATTTTTTAAATTTTTTTAATTTTTTTTTGCTATGTAAATAAGTAGTCACAAATTGGGGCTATCCAGACTTGCTCACATTCAGCCCAGAGGCTCCTTGTGTGCGGACATGCCCTTCAGGTAGCCTTTGGGGAGAACATTCCTGAAGGTGCCAATTCAGCCACGTAGAGTAGCTGTGGGAAAAAAAACAACAGCTACATCCAAAATAATTTTGATAGAGAAAAATGCAATAAAAAATAGGGTGAGTTAAAAATTCTGAATGATGCATCTGATTCACCTTATCTCAGTCATGTGCTGGTGTTAAGATTTTAATCGAGAACATAATTACAGGCCTCACAATAGCATATATCTAGTAGAAGCTATTCAGGTCTTTTTTTCCTTTAAGATTGTGGGGATTTTTTTCTTACCTTGTGTCTCCAGCTACATCTTCCCCGAGCATCTGTCACATACACCATCTTTTGACAATGACTGACTGACTTTTCATCCATACTCAGAATACCGTGACACGGGGAATGCTGTATTTGAGTAAAAATGTGCTGATCTGAGAGTTAAATGAGATTTTAAATGTTCCCCCAAAATCAAAAAGCCTCTTCCCTACA